ATATATATATATATATATATATATATAATAATTAAATTATCCAGTGTTTACCCACGGAACACTTTTTTTTTTTTAAATATTCGATTTTATTTTAGCGTTACTTATGGATGATGGTAGGAAGCCGTCGATGATACCTTGATATGTTATCTACAATTCTACATAATGCCGTTCAAAAAACATTTATCAGTAAAAGCTTTTTTTTTTTTTTTTACAAACATTAATGTTTTTTATTATGTTTATACATAGATTACCCAAAGATTTATAAATTCTTAGTATTGGCCCATTTTTGCCCATGAATTTCCACGTATCAGGCTGGAGGGAGTGGTGTCACCGAAACCGCACTCTCTCTCCCGCCACATAAGCGTCATGTAATTTTGACCACACAAGTGTGGTTTCTTGCCACACCAAGGGAGTGGTGCCACACTTTTATTTTCTTTTTTCTTTTTTGTTTTTTTTAACTATTTTAAATTAATAAATTTTTTTTTGTTAACTATTTTAATTTAATAAAACTTCTATTTTAATAAAAAAACATAATTTTTCATTACTTGAAAATTAAAAAAACATTACATTGCATTACCAAAAAAAAAAAAAAAAAACGAAAACCATACACATGATATTTAAATAATCCTAGAAACTTAAAAAACACATATAAAATAACTAAAGCAAACTACATAAAGTCGTTCTCCGAGAACTCGTCTTAGGAGTCATCCGGTGGATCCAAATTAAGGTTAATGTTTTGAACCCCGTAAATGTGTTCCACCAAGTCATTGCGAAGATTGTGAAATGTTTCAGTGTAACGTATCTCTGCTCTCCTGTTCATATACTCTTCGCCACAAATTTCTATTGGTTGTGTATCTGGTATGGTTTCTTCATCGTCAAACGCACATATCGCTTTTCCTTCGTCTTCAATAATCATGTTATGCAATATGAGACATGTATACATAATTTCTTGAAGTTTTTCTCGCCTAAATAAGCTGTTGGTTTTTTCAATATAAACCACCGTTTCTTCAGAGCTCCAAAAGCACGCTCAACATCCTTCCTAGCTCTTTCTTGAGCTCTCTTGAATTTCT